TCTCTGTACATCATTACACAGCAGTAATTGTATTTGTGGGCTATTTTTTAAGTTGTTTTTTATATCAGCTTTATCTTAAGTAGATTACACCTCCATGGGGACAAAGTATTACAGTCTTACACATATTTTTATGCCCATAACACCTAAGATCCAGAAATGAGCCTTCAGATTTTTAGAACTGGAATAATCCTAGATCTCAACCACCCGAAGGCATCGAAGATTGCTTGTTGGTTAATTAATATGCAAGTGGTAAAAAATGTGAAAGAGGAACCTATGAATCAGATGGTTATGCCCAGCTTCAGTTGAAAGGCCCAGTTCTGCCTTTCTCAGCTAACAGGGTAGGGGTGGAGGAGGGTGTTGGGACAGGTCAAAGCTGGGACAGTAGGTGTCCGTTCCAGTTCTAACTCCCTGCTCACCCTGTGCTTCTCTCCTGACAGACCCAGCCATGGCAGGCCCAGGCAGCAGCTCACCGTGGGGCAAGCATGTGTTCAAAGTCATCCTGATGGTCCTAGTGGCCCTCGTCCTCCTCCACTCAGCATCATCCCAATCCCATTCAGACTTTGTGCCACCAGGCCAGCACAAGAAGGAGGCTCCAGTTGATCTCTTGAGCCAGATGGGTCGTTCTGTGCGGGGAACACTGGATGCCTGGCTGGGGCCAGAGACCACGCACCTGGTTTCCGAGGTAAGGAAAGTGGTCCCTGCTGTGACCACACACAGTGAAGAGAGTTAAAGGAGGAGAGGTTGTTCATGGCCACCCCATCTTGGCTCTACATCCTCTGTGTGTCATAATCTCTGGTGCGGAGAGCCCCACATTCCACGAAATGAAGCCAGACAGTACCTGCTCTTTGCAGTCCCATTGATTGAGTCCTGCCCTAGGGCCTTTAGCTCTTTCCCTTATTCCTGCCCCTTCTTGCCAAAAAGACTAAGAAATGAGCCAGTCTTTATAAACCCACGTCACTGGATGACAAAGTCTGATTTTGGTCTAAATCTGACCTAAAGTCTTAAATTGGCAAAATATCAAGACCCAAATCCATTCCTTCACTGGTAGAGATAGAGGTAGGTCTGACTCAGGGGCTTAAGCCAGGGCTGTCCCTTCTACCTAATGGCATGCCAGATGTGGCATCACGTATTTTCCATAGGTTATTCTAAACAGTTGAGATGGTTATTTATAAAATCCATCATCTAGTAGAGCTGATTGACTCCTTTTTCATTGAAACATCCTAGCCCTTCACAGATATTGCTTCATGCAACCTCATGATTCTTGGGAGAACCTCAGTGTCACAGGGTGACTACTATGGAGATTTGATGAATTCCTCACACACATTCACCTACTACCATCACCAATGTGTTCTAGCAAATCACTTGATTTAGGGCCCAGATGTCCCGAGTTCCAGGTCAGGAAGGACAGATGGCCTGCTGTCCAGGCTTGGTGGGCAGATGTCTGGCTGAGAGATGGGACACATTCCTTCCAGGCCTTGCCCAGTCAGGCTCAGAGGCTTAAAGGAGACTGATTGTGGACTCCTCTCCTGCCCTGCTCTTTTCACAGACCTTGTCTCAGGTGATGTGGGCCATCTCCTCAGCCATCTCAGTGGCCTTCTTCGCGCTGTCTGGGATCGCTGCACAGCTGCTCAACGCCTTGGGACTAGATGGTGAGCAGCGGAGAACTAGTCAGGTCTCCTGGAGCTTAGCCTGTCACTTCCTTTGGTGGGGCTTTATCTTTTCAGGGCCCAGACTGTCCCCCCAGCTGCTTGACACCTGCCAGGTTTCCCCAGCGTTAAGTATAAGAGCTGGCTAATGACTGCCACCACCTTCCTGGTGTTTGCTTCATGTCAGGAAAAGCATTGTGCTAAGCCCTAGTATGTCATTTAATTGTTACCTGCAGCCCAGAGAATCACTCTCGTTTTGCAGATGGATCGGGTTCAACCAAAAGAAGTAATCAACCCCCAGCCAGCAGGAATAGGAGCTGAGATTCAGGCTCCCATCTTTGTGACCCTGTGGGAAAGGAATTTTCCTTTGCAAGGGGCTTCAAGCCTTCCCTTTTTGGGTCTCACCCCCGTGCCCTGACCATTCCAGGTTGGCTGATTCTGTGACTCTCCCTCTTCCAGGAGATCACCTCACCCAGGGCCTGAAGCTCAGCCCCAGCCAGGTCCAGACGTTCCTGCTGTGGGGGGCAGGGGCCCTAGTTGTCTACTGGCTTCTGTCCTTGCTCCTTGGCTTGGTCTTGGCCTTGCTGGGGCGGATCCTGTGGGGTCTGAAGCTCGTCCTCTTCCTGGTCGGCTTTGTGGCCCTGGTGAGGTCAGTTCCCGACCCCTCCACCCGGGCCTTGCTCCTCCTGGCCCTGCTGACCCTCTATGCCTTGCTGAGCCGGCTCAGTGGCACCCGGGCCTCAGGGGCCCAATTGGAAGCAAAGGTCCGAGGGCTGGAGCGCCAGGTGGAAGAGCTGCGCTGGCGGCAGAGGCGGGCGGCCAAGGGGCCCCGGAGTGTGGAAGAGGAGTGAGAAGGACCCCGGGCAAGGCCATCTTCATACCAAAGAACTGCACTGCTTTTGGATCGCACAGCCGTCCTTCCAGCCCCCCACCCCACTCCTTTCTTGAACTGTCAGAACCTTCATCCCTAGCAGTCAAAGAGGAAGACCATGCTGGTCCCCAGGGGCCCTGTCTTCTGAGGTTCTCTGCCTGGAATTGGTTGTCCTCACCCCCTCTCTGCTCCCAGCCTGCCTCAGGCCAGGTTGGAAGGGCCTCCCCTGTGGCTTGTGCATCTGCCCTCAATGGGCATCACTGCCAGTGTCTCCCTTCTGCTGCTGCCTTGCCTTCCTCCTGACGCTCTTGCTCCCCTGTCCTTCTATGGCTCCTCCTTTGTCAAGTCTCTGCTTCTTTCTTGGTTGTCTCCTTCTAGCCCTGCATTCCACCCAAACCACAGTCCCTCAAGGCATGTTCCTGTCCTCTTTGTTGCCTCACCACCGTGGGGAAGAGGCAGGGCACCAGGGACCTGAGGCCCAGGGGCAGGTTCCCACCCGGGACTGGGAATGGGGATGCACAATGAGTCTGTTACAAGTGCCTTAATCCGAGCCAGCAGGGCCCTCTACTTGCCCGCTGCTATACTGTATGTAGGAAATTGCACTGTGGCTGCTTTGTGTCAAGAAGAGAGTTTTTCCCTCTCAGAATCTTGATTCCCCTTCAGCCAAAGCAAAAGGTGACTGCTTCATAGGCTTGTGCCTGCAAGTGGGACCCTGCAGTGGCCATCAGGTCCCCCGTGGGGATTTCAGAGACACTGAAGGAGAAGCATCTTGTCTGCACAGCTCCAGATGGTTCTCCACCCCCTTCCTCCACTCATTGCCACCAAGGAGTTGCTGATCAGGCTCTACTCCAGTGGCCCAGGAGGAATGCAGGGCCGAAAAACCAGAGCTGCACACCATGGCCCCTTCCCTTCACAAGCTCCGAGAGGGCCAGGGTGCCTGCCACTGGAGCCCTCTCACCACCAGGGGTCTCATTCTTCGTCTGAGGCTCTGGTGGAGGTGGGTATCCCCTGCCAGGGCCAGCACTTGATGTGAAGAATGAATTCAAATCCCAGCTCTTACTGTTAAGATTTGGTGTGGAATCACAGCTGCAGTGATACATGTTTTTATCAGCGCTTGGTTGGTTTTAAATAAAATGCACGCTATTTTATTATCTTGTTCCACATAAAATGTATTTACTCTGAGTCTCGGTTGCTCTCATTTCTCCCTACAGCTTAATCCATTTCTGTGGAGAGGGGGGGGGGGAGCAAAAAAGAAGGCTGGTACCAGGTACCCTTCCCTCCTGGAGTGCAAGAAATGAGGAAGGCATGCCCTCTTTACAAAACTTCCAGAAAGTGACCTATACTGTTGGAACAGTGTGTCTGTGAGGGCGGGCAAGGGAGGCACCCCTGCCTCCATGTATGTAAGAGTATGAAAGGCTGCTCGCAGGCAGCCATATTTCCCTGCCCGCCCTCCTTTGCTCACTACATGGGAATTTCCTGCACTGTGGTTCTCAACCTGGCCTATAGTCTGGATCAGCTGTTGGGTAGAGGGGCCCAGGTATTTGGGGTTTGTTTGCTTGTTTGTTCTTTCTTTTTAAATTGCCACAGAAATGTTACGGTGCAGCCAAGTGCCCTGGCCTGGACTCCTTCTAACTGCCTGGTAGGCAGGGCTGGTCCAGGAGTCCAGGACCTGGGTGGCAGAACCTCCGTTGTGGGGAGCAAAGGGGCCCTCACCCCTCCTTGGCTGGCAGGCCTCTCCCACGGATGTGGCTGGGCATGAAACTCAAGTTGTCTGCCCCTGAGACCTTCCTCCACAGCAGTGGCCTAGGACTCTCAGGGCAGGCCCAGATGATTGTCCCCTGGCCCCCTTCTGCCCCTTTTTGCCGCTGGGGCTCAGGTCCCCAAATCCCGAATGCCAGTTCTGATACAGACGTCAGATGCCTTTACAGGTGAGTTGTTTGTGGGGCGGGCGTGAGGCGGAGGAAGTGGCCATTAATTCCGCGGGCAGGGGCTTGCGAGAGGGAGGCAGCAGAACGCGTCGAGTCCCTTGGTGGGGCGGGCCAGTCGCCCGTCCGGTCCCCGGGGAAGCGGCTTTCCGACCGCCGGTCCGGGAGCTCGGGCCTGGAGAGCCGAAGGGCACTAGGACCCGGCGGGGCGGAGGGGCAGCCCGCGTGCCGCGCTCGCTCCCTCCTCCTCCGGCTCCGGCTCGAGCTCCATTGTCTGGGAGCTGCGGCCCGGGCGGCGGCGGCGGCGGCGGCGGCGGCGGGGAGCGGAGCGGAGCGGCGCGGAGCGGGGGATGCCGGGCGGGTGGGCGGGGGCCACCGGCGCCGCCCGCCTAGTCCCGCCCTCCGCGGGAAGGATGTGCGCCGGGATGGCGGGGCGCGCGGTGGCGGCTCCCCGGGGGCGCCGCGGCCCCTGGCTCTGCCTCCTGCTGGCCCTGGCCCTGGCCCTGGACGTCGTGAGAGGTCAGCGGGCGGGGGGGCGGGGGCGGCCGGGGCCGGGCTGGACGTGTGCGGCGAGCCGGGGGCCGCGGGTTTCCCGACCGAGCCCCGAGCGCCGTGGCCCGCAGCTCCCGGAGGTCTCAGCCCCTCGGGGCTGCCCTGCAGCCGCGCTGCCCCGTTGCTTCCCTCGTGCGCAGAGCCCAGCCGGCTCGGGCTCGGGCTCGGGCTCGGGCTCGGGCTCGGGCTCGGCCCCGGCCCCGGCCCCGGCCCCGGCCCGGCCGCTCCTTCCGCGAGCCCCCCCTCCTGCCCGGGCGCTGAGCCCGGCTGCCCCCGGCCCCGGCGCACAGCTCCCTAAAACGCGGTGCACAGCGCTGCGCCCAGCGGCTCCTCGCCCACCCCCGCCCCGTCCACCCCGTCGGTCCAGCCCGCAAGGGCACGGAAGCAGCCCCTTTGCCCGGGACCTGCGAGGAGCGCAGCCTCCCTCCCCCTGCCCCAAGGAGCCTCCGACCTCAGAGTCTCGGGGATCGCCCCGTCTGTGCCTTCCTGGATTCCGGGGGAGCCGCATCACTGGAGGAAGGGGCAGCGACTCCCCTGTGCCCAGGGTGGGGGTCAGACTGCCCTTGGCAGGGCTCTGGCTGCTAGGAACGGGGGAGGGGGCCGGGTAGTGAGGCATTCTCTGCTAGCCTCACCCCCACCTGAGAGCGGAGTTCTGGGTGCTGGGAGTCCTGGGAGCCAGGCCACAGGGCATCTTGTAATTATCCAGGCAATAGAAAACAGGAGGAAGGCCGGAGGTCAGGTCAGGGGCCGCCCCCAAGAAGCCATCCTCACTCCTCTGTTAGATTTGGGGGCTGAACGTGTGGAGCCTGGGTGGGGAGGGTCTTGGAGGAGGTTGAAACCATCAAGCCCCCCAGCCCAGGATAGGGCAGAGAAGGAGCTGTCTGTAGGGCTGCTTTCAGCCACCTGCTCCCTCCCCAGGGGACCCAGCAGGAGCCCTAATAACCTCTCATACGGAGAGATGAGGGAAGCCTTGTCACATCCATTATTCAGTGGCCGGCCATCACCTCTCCTCTAGACAGCACTCCACACTTTCCAAAGCCCTCCCTTGTTCACAGTTGTCACTAAATGCTCAATCTACAGGTGAAGAGAATCTACAGGTGAAGATGTCAGATGACTGATCCAAGCTACATTGAGGCAGAATTAAGATGTAAACGCAGCCCTCCAGGCTCCCAGAACATCCTCTCTAGGGAGAGCTGCCCAGCTTGGGGATTCAGGAATGATTAGAAGAAACCTCTGTCCCTAGACAGGAAGACAGCTAATTCAGATGAGGCAACTAGGGTAATGGTGAGAGGACAAGCAATCAAGAAGGGCTTCCTTAAGGAGGCAACATGACTTAAGGGATGGAAGAGAGACCCACAGTCCAGGGACTGAAACCAGAAGTGCTCACCCTTGCAGAGGGTATAGGATGGAGAAACAGGGTACCCCCTCTGTGTGTAATGCCTGATCCCTGACTCCCAGCTCCAGCTCTCTCCAGCCGAGGGATCCTGGCAAGTCCCTTAACCTCAGCCTCATCTTCCACATCCATAAAATGGATTTAATAGCAATAGAACCTAGTTCTCAGAGTTATTACATAAACTGAAGAGTTAATATATGTAAAATGTCTTAAATAGTAGTCTGTATATAGTTAGTGTTAAAAGTATTTATTCTTATTGGGGCTAACTAATAATAATTTGGTACAAACCAAATATGGTCATAGGGGTCCTTTGCCCTTCTACTCATTAACTATTTTGACCCTCTCCCCAAGCTCACGGTCCCCCCACCCCCACCCAACCCTAGTCCCACTTTTGCACTCTGGTACCCAGTTGGGATGGAAAAGAAGGGAGCACATTTAGGAAGCTGTAGTTGCCATGGTGATGATGAAGGGGACAGGAGGGTGGATGCCCTGGCAAGTCTGGCCAAGGATTCAGGGACAGAGAAAGGGTCTCTGCTTCTACCAAGCTCACCTTGCCACCATCTTTTACTACACAGACCCTGCCTGGGAAGAACTGTGCCCCACAAATGCCTTGATATCAGAAGCAAGTATGTAGAGGACAGGAATGGGGAAGAGATGTTGAGAAGGTTCTCCTCAAGGGAGGAAGGCCTGAGTCTATGGAAGGTAGAAGGAATGGTTTGGAAGCTGGCATCCAGTCCCGAATGTACACTCACATCCTGGCCCTGTCCCGTGCTACCTGTGGGAGGCTCTTTGAGCCCCACTTTCCCCATCTGTGAAATGAGACCACTTCCCCTACATCCTGGGGGGATGGGACATTTATAATTCCTTTCCTCCACTGCCCACCACCACGGTGCCCTGGGCTGGAGCCTGGTTCAGCCCCAGTCAGCTCTGGAGCTGTCACCATCTCTATCCCTTCTCCTTCTTCAGTGGACTGTGACCAGGACCCCTTGGACACCATCTACCTGCCTGCAACCCTGGAGCTCCTTGATGCCCCTGAGCACTTCCGTGTGCAGCAAGTGGGCCATTATCCACCTGCCAACTCCTCTCTGGGCTCCCGGTCTGAGACCTTTCTGCTTCTGCAGCCATGGCCCAGGGTCCAGCCTCTTCTCCGGGCCTCCTACCCACCCTTTGCCACTCAGCAGGTAAGGAGAGGGCACCAAAGACTGACTCCGAGGCTAATAGGATTCAGAGCTGTGGTCTGCTGTGTGTGGCTCAAGGGTCTTTCCCACCCCCAGCTGCACTCTGCATATTCCAGAGGCATGTAAATGCTCTCTCCTGCCACACTGGGACTGGAAGCCTGGCATCCCATCTCTCCGGATCTTGCTTCCCCCCAGCCCCCTGGTTTGTTGAGCACCCCCCTTCTCCCTCCAGGTGGTCCCTCCACGGGTTACTGAGCCCCACCAACGGCCAGTGCCGTGGGATGTGCGGGCTGTGTCGGTGGAAGCGGCCGTGACTCCAGCGGAGCCCCATGCCCGAGTCCTCTTCCACCTCAAAGGGCAGGATTGGCCTCCAGGGCCTGGCAGCCTGCCCTGCGCCTGGCTCCATGCCACACATCCTGCAGGCACTGCTCACCAAGCCTGCCACTTCCAGGTGAGTGGGCAGGCCCTACCTAGGCTGGCTCTACCTGCTATGCCAGCCAGAGGGCAGTCCTAGGGCAGGGAAGAAAGGGCTCACCACTCCCGGGTGGTTTAGGAGTCCCAGACAAGCGGACTGCATTCCTGTTCTGTTGGCTTCCGTGGGGACCCTTGGAAAGGTTTCTTTAGGGTCCTTTCAGGAAGTTAGTCTGTTGCATACAACTTCAGGCAAGTAACTTAATTTTTGTGGGACTTGGCTTCCCTATCTGTAAAATGGGGTAATAATAATTCCTATCTCCTATGGAGCTGGAATAAAGAACAAATGAAACGACTGCAAAAAGCTTTTGGCACAATGCTAGTACCTGGCCCAGAGTAAGCACTCAGTGAGTGTTTGCATTATTGTTAGTATTACTTTTATAATTGCAGCTTGCACTGTTTGGGAATCTACCAGGGAGAGATATTTTGGAGGCTTTGGGAATCTTCAAAGCCTAAGGCATAGGGTGGTCCTGGGGCCTAGTGAGGGGGAGGCATTAGGATTGGCTCCCTTGGGAATGAGTTTGTTTGCAAGAGAAATGCGGCTTTTGGACGAGTTCGGGGACCTCGCCCCAGTCACATCACTCACTAGTTGTGTCATCTGGGAAATGTCCCTGGCCCATGCTGGGCCTGCCTTCCACGGGCCCCTCCAGCTCTGCATTTCCTGCCATGGGTGTTGGAACCCCCTCCCCCACCATGTCAACCATGGCCGTTGTGTGTTTGCAGCCCTCCCTAGGCGCCTGTGTGGTGGAGCTGGAGTTTCCCTCCCACTGGTTCTCCCAGGGCTCCACTACACGGGCCGAGCTGGCCTACACGCTGGAGCCCGCAGCTGAGGGCCCTGGGGGCTGCGGTCCCAGCCAGGAGGAGGACCCCAGGGAGCAAGCCCTTCCAGTGGGTGGTGTGGAGCTGCGCCCAGCGGACCCCCCACAGTACCAAGAGGTGCCCCTGGATGAGGCGGTGACCCTGCGGGTCCCTGATGTGCCTGTGCGGCCAGGCCAGCTCTTCAGTGCCACCCTCCTGCTTCGGCACAACTTCACAGCCAGCATCCTGACCCTGCGGTGAGTCCAGAGCTCCTGGCATGGGTTGGAGGCAGGGACCTCTGCAGAAAGACTGAGCAGGTGCCTTACTGGAGTCCTTGATCTCTGCTGATATGGGCCCACCAAACCCTCTCTGGGCCAAGAACCGTGACTGTCCTGGCAGCAGGCAAGCCCCAGCAGTGGGCACAGCCCTGAACTTGGCATCAGATGTTGGAAGCTCCCCTTCCCCCGACACCTCCTGGAGACGCCTGTCCTATGAGGCCGATGTTGCCTGCTTCACAGGGCAGCCATGAGGCTCCAGGGAGGGAAGACTGGAAAGTGCAATGCCTGGGGGTGGTTAATGCTCTGATGCCCCAGGATGGGTGTCTGCCCCAATCACATTCATCTACAAGCTCTCCCGTCTGCCGCCTTGCTGCATGTCCTCACCTTTGGACAGAGCCCACCCCTCCCCACAGGAAAGGCTCTCTTTTTTTGCGTCCCTCCCTGCAGAGAGTTCTCCCACAGTAGCCCCCAACCCAGTTCCACTGACAAGAATTTTCAGAGTGTCACTTGCCTCTCCCACATTTGGATTAATGTGTGTCCTGTTCCTGTGGATCTCTCAGGTACCTGTCCTGTCCCCCTGTCTCTTACACCTTCTCATGCCCCCCTCGCACACTCACTAGATCTTTCCCAGATGTTTAAAACATGCCCGGCCCTATGTCTCTACTCTGGAGCTACAGAGATGAGCAAGGCCTGGTCCCCATCTGGCGTGAAGGGGCCCCAGCAACAGGGAAGGGAGCCAGGTGGCACACACTGGAGGTGCACCTATGCTCTGGTGGCCATATAAGGTGCAGTGGGGGCCTGGGTTAGGGCTGAGGGAAGTGGGAAATTCATCTTGCCACAGGAGAAGCTTTCTAGAGGACATAGTATTTGAGATGCTGGAGGCTTGAAGAAGGAGCAGAGGAAGAAAGGAAGGGCAGGCTGGGCTGTCGTGAGCAAAGACTCAGAGACATAAATGAGTTGTGTGTCCAGGAAAGAACTTTCTCGGTGTCACCGAAGCAGAGTAACAGATGGAAGTCACAGCCCAGGATGAAACTAGACCAGATCCTGGAGGGCCCAGATGCTGGGATGCGATGAGACCTGACCCTGGAAGCGGCAGATCTCTGAGTCGAGGAGGGCTGCAGTGCAATGAGTGCATTGCCCTGAGTTGCAGTGGAGTCCTTCTGGATCAGAGGATTGTGAGCAGATGAGTTGGGGAGGCCAGGCAGCAGGCCAATGCCTTTGGTCCCTTGCGTTCCTACTTACTCAGTCCATAGCTCAGCACCCACCCTGACACATGGGGCCTGGGTCCTCTCTCCAGGATCAAGGTGAAGAAGGGGCTGCATGTGACAGCTGCCCGCCCAGCCCAACCCAGCCTCTGGACTGCCAAGCTGGACCGCTTCAAGGGCTCCAAGCACCACACAACCCTCATCATCTGCCACCGTGCTGGCAACACAGGGCTGGACTCCAGGTGGGCATCTCCCTCCCCAGGGCGAGGTGGGGGGGCAGTGATGGGGGACGGAGGAAGGAGTGAGCAGATTTCTGCGGCCCAAGGGAAGGGGGCCACTGGGCTGCCCCCATGCTCCCACATGAGGGAGCACAGAGGACTCCTTCCAGGATGCAGTGCAGAGCAGATACTCATTCATCCAGCTACTATTTATCCATCCCCAGGTGCACACCAAGTTCAGTGAGTGTCCATGAGTCTCATTCCAGGTGACACAAGCCTATCCTGGCTACTCCAGTTATAGCCCTTGCAGCCACTTCCCTACTCCCACAATCATCAAATGGGTCCCTTTTTCTGGGCCATTAGTATTTCAAAGACAGCCCAGCTGCAGTTAACATTTATGAACTATTCATGCTCTGAGCCTTGGCCAAGGCCATGAGCTTGGTAGCTTCTGTTTGAACCCTAGTTCTGACACTGGGATGAGTAGCCATGAGCAAGCCAGTTAACCTCCGCTACATCCCCCCACCCCCCAAAAAATACACCCCTGACCAGAGCCTGTTTCTTCACCTGTAAAGTAGGGATAATAACACATCCCTTAGGGTTTTTGTTTTGTTTTTAATTAATTTATTTATTTATGATAGTCACACAGAGAGAGAGAGAGAGAGGCAGAGACACAGGCAGAGGGAGAAGCAGGCTCCACGCACCGGGAGCCCGACGTGGGATTCGATCCCGGGTCTCCAGGATTGCGCCCTGGGCCAAGGGCAGGCGCCAAACCACTGCGCCTCCTTAGGGTTTTTGAAAATAAAATACTATATAGCAAGCATCCAGCCAGTGCTTGATCAAAGGGACCTGTGAGGGTTAGTATTCAGGAGGTTGAGTGCCAGTCCTGGGGTTTTGAAGTGACTCTTCCTCCTTGGAAGAGGAGGATGGCCATGGAAGGCAGAATTCTGCATGGAAGGGGAGTAAGAAGTCAGGAGAACCAGCAGGCTTTCCAGGAGGGTGGTGAAGTGGCTGCGTGCACCTTCTAGAAGCTGCAAATATATGAGCTTGAGCTCTGGAGCCAGGATACTTGAGTTCAGTCCCAGCCCTGCCACTTTTCTCTCTGTGACTTTGGGCAGGTTATAGAAGTTCATACCTCAATTTTCTCCCCTGTTAATTGGGGGTTGTCATAGGACTTGTCTCATGAATATAGCCAGCGCTTCCAACTGTGCCTGGCTGCTAGCAAGCACTCAGTCTCTCTCTCTCTCTCTCTCTCTCTCTCTCTCTCTCTCTCTCTCCTGGCCAGCAGCCCTCCTGAACTCTCCGAGTTCCTGTGGGTGGACTTTCTGGTGGAGAATGGCACTAGTGGGGGTGTGGCAGTCACTCGCCCTGTCACATGGCAGCTGGAGTATGCAGGCCAGGCCCCCGAAGCAGAAAAGGACAAAATGGTGTGGGAGATCTTGGTGTCAGAGCGGGATGTAAGAGCCCTTGTCCCACTGGCCAAGGTAAGGAGTCCTCCCCCCATCCCCCCAGCCTGTGGCTGGCCAGGCCTGGGGCCAAGTGAGGCAGTGGGCTTGGGGCTGAGCTCTTCCTGCACCTGCAGGCCGAGGAACTGGTGAACACAGCTCCACTGACCGGAGAGCCGAGGCACGTGCCCATACGCCTGGTCACCGTGGACAATGGGGGGGCCCTGGTGGAGGTGACAGAGCACATTGGCTGTGAGTCGACCAATACACAGGTGCTGCAGGTGAGTGGCATGTGCCAACTCCAGGCAAGTGTGCACTTGTGTGCAGAGCGATGCACATCCTTCCTCACTCTTGTACCCAAGAGAGCAGCTTCTGGACACCAGAAACCTCGTGGGGGGAACCACAGATTCAACTTCTTTTGTTCCCACCTCCTCTCTCCAACATCAGTTGGGAAGGAGCTCTGTCACTCCAGCAGCCCCGGCTTAGGCCCTTCTGCATTTGTTACTGTAATGAAAAAATGAACTGATGTGGGAAAGTTAAGAGTATGCCCACATACTTGGGGGCACGTGACTGGCTTAGTCAGTAGGGCATGTGATTCGTGATCTCAGGGTCGGGAGTTCAAGCCACACATTGGACATAGAGCTAGAGCTTACTTTAAAAAGGGGGGGGGACCTGGGTGGCCCAGTTGGTTAAGTGTCTGCCTTTGGCTCGGGTGGTGATCGCAGGGTCCTGGGATCAAACCCCAAGTCAGGCTCCCTGCTGAGCAGAGAGACTGCTTCTCCTTCTCTCTCTCTGCCCCTCCCCCCCTTGTGTGTGTGCTCTCTCTCTCTCAAATAAGTAAGTAAAATCTTAAAAAAAAAAAAAAAAAAACCACACACGTATGTTGAAACCAACAAATTTTAGTTTGAAACCCATCTTTGTTATCTGTGATCGTGGACAAGTCTCCTCACCTCTGAGCCTCAGTATTAGAGAGGAGAGTCTAATATATTAGACTGTTACAAGAATTAAAGGCATCCAGGGGCACCTGGGTAGCTCAGTCAGTTAAGCATACACCTCTTGATTTTGGCTCATGTCATGATCTCAGGGTTGTGAGATGGAGCCCCACATCCAGCACCCCGCTGGGTATGAAGCCTACTTGAGATTCTCCCTCCCCTTCTACCCCTCCCCCACTCCCTCCCACTCTTTAAAAAAAAAAAAAGGGGGGGATCCCTGGGTGGCGCAGCGGTTTGGCGCCTGCCTTTGGCCCAGGGCGCGATCCTGGAGACCCGGGATCGAATCCCACGTCGGGCTCCCGGTGCATGGAGCCTGCTTCTCCCTCTGCCTGTGTCTCTGCCTCTCTCTCTCTCACTGTGTGCCTATCATAAATAAATAAAATAAAACAACAACAAAAAAAAAGAATTAAAAGCACCCTAAGACACTCTACCAGCAGAGAGGCAGGAGCTGAAACAATGACGACTTTTAAGAGTAATACAATGTAATACATGATGCTAAAAATAATGATAATTATTAGAGCTTTATAATGATCCTGAGATTTAAAAAAAAAAAAAAAAAGGCGGGCAGCTTTCTCCATTTTGAAATTCTAAAAGGGGACGCCTAAATCTTGGCTAATGAGCCAAATGTGTGGGTTCGAACTCTCCACTACCAGAACAAAGATTTTGCATGTAAATAGCCAGTTTTCTCAGCTGAGTTCCAGGTGAACTTGGGGAATGGCTGGTTCCTCCAGAATGGATCTTGGATGCATTTTTAAAAAAGATTTTATTTATTTGAGAAAGAGAGAGCATGAGTGGGGGGTGGGGGGTGGGTGTGGAGGGAAGAGGGGCAGAAGGAGAGGGAGAAGCAGACCCCTTGCTGATCAGGGAGCCACAGAGGACTGGATCCCAGGACCCTGAGACCATAACCTGAGCCAAAGGCAGACACTTAACCAACTGAGCCACGCAGGTGCCCCTTGATGAAATCTTAATCTTGAGACATGCCAGTAGAGTGCAGAATGAATTTCAGCCCTGCCCCTTATGGTAAGGGCTTAGGGCAGCCCTCTCTGTTCCATACCTGTCTTCCCAGGCTTAGCCCAGCTCCTGCCCTCCCATAGGTGTCCGAGACCTGTGATGCTGTGTTTGTGTCTGGCAAGGAGAGCCGGGGTGCCCAAGGGGTGCAGGTGGACTTCTGGTGGCGCCGTCTGAGGGCCTCGCTGCAGATGACAGTGTGGGCCCCGTTGCTGCCCCTGCGCATTGAGCTGACCGACACCACCCTGGAGCAGGTCCGGGGCTGGAGGGTCCCTGGCCCCACTGAAGGGTGAGTGGAGACCTTGATGAAGTTGCTCTGGGACCTGAGAGATAGTGCACAGAGGTTGGCCATGGGCTTGAGCGGGGATCTAACTGCCCAGTTGCTTCTGGTTCCTCCTGCTCACCTGCCTGTCACCCCCCAGCTTATGGCCACTTTATGCCACTTTATTTGTAGTCTTGATTTCCGCACTCCCTTTCCCCCTTCCATGCTGCACTTCCCTGTAGTGCGGATCACTTTCTAATTACTGTATAGCCCGATTCATCTTGTTTGTGGTATGCCCACCACCTTCATTCTCCTCCATAAGAATGTAAGACCTTGAAGGTGAGGGTTTTTTTGTCTATTACGTTCACTGCTGTGTTCTTCCAGCCTTATATCAAGAGAGTCCCACCAGAGTACATGGGTGAGGTGGCCTCAGGAATCTGAGCCAGGCCTTCCAGATAGTGAGCACCCTGAGATCTCCCTACCTCCCCAGGACCCAAGAATTCAGATTAGGAATGAGGGGAGGGTGAGAGCAGCTTGATGGACAGGCATAGGCACCAGTTAGGAATGGGCCGCGGTGCCAGGCCAGCAGGTAGAGGTGCAACCATACTTGCAGAGTTTGAAGACTGTACACCCCTCGCTGAGCTGGGGGTCCCTCAGGGGCGGGGCCCAGAGCTGACGCTCTTCCCCACCTCCCCCAAGGATGCCAGAGCCTGAGGCTGCTGCTGAGGAGGCTGAGAGGCGCCCCCGCAGCTGCCGCCTGCAGTACCAGCGCGCCGGCGTGCGCTTCCTTGTCCCCTTTGCGGCTCACCCACTGGACGGTGGCCGCCGCCTCACCCACCTGCTCGGCCCTGACTGGCTGCTGGATGTGACCCACCTTGTGGCGCCTCACGCACGTGTACAAGACCCACGCGTAGCCTCGCTGGAGGGCGGCCGCATCCTGGTGGGCCGGGAACCTGGCGTCACCTCCATCGAGGTGAGCAGACCCCCCTTCTCCCCCAGAGAAGGGCATAGGTGGCACCCCCCAGAATGTTCATGCGCAGGGATGAGGAGTGTCAGAACGGGCCCAGAGTGTACCTGGGCATGTGTGAGCCCAGTGGGATTGGGTAGGAAGAGGGTGGCCTGTGTAATGGGGGACATCCTCACAGCATGAAGGGCTGCTTCACAGCAGCATCCCTCACAGCATGGGGGAACCAGGTCTTGAGAGAGAGATGGTATTGGGGTCCAGGTATGAATGTATAGGGCATATGGGATGCAAAGGGTGGGGGAAAGCAGTGTGTCCAGATGATGGGGATGGGAGGGGAGAGGCTGTGCACTTGCTCTCCCCCTTGCCCCACAACTTGCAGCTCCCTTTCACCCTCAGGTGCGTTCCCCGCTGTCTGACTCCATTTTGGGGGAGCAGGCATTGGCCGTGACGGATGACAAGGTCTCGGTGCTGGAGCTGCAGGTGCAGCCGGTGATGGGCATCTCACTGGCCCTGAGCCGGGGTACTGCCCACCCTGGGGAGGTCACAGCCACGTGCTGGGCACAGTCAGCCTTTCCCGCCCCAAAGCAGGTGACAGCTTGGGGATGAGGGGAGTGAGGTCAACATCTCTAGATGGGGGCTAATGACAGGGGGCTGGGAGGCACCTGGACCCCTCCCCTTAGGGTTTTCAGAATGAGAACTGACTGTCCTGTGAGGTAGTGAGCTCTCTGCAGCTGGAGATGATCAAGCAGTGACTGGCTGGAGTGTGGCAGTGGGAGGTTGGTTAGATGGCTCTGAGGACCCTCCCAATGACTCAGACCCCAGGGCTGAGTGGCAACCAGGTGATTGACACACATCCCCTCTCTCCCTGTGTTTTGTCCATCCGCCTGTGTTTGTTTTTTCTCTGATCTCTCCTCTTCCTCCTCTTCCTCCTCTTCCTCCGTGTGGCCTGTCTCTGTGGGAGTGGTCTCTGTGTGCATGCGTGCGTGCCCTCGCATGTCTCTGCCTGTGTCCGTGTGCTCCACAGGAGGTGGCCCTCTCCCTTTGGCTGTCCTTCTCTGACCACACCCTGGTCCCCGCTGAGCTCTACAACCAACATGACCTGGGACTGTCTGTCTCCGCCGAGGAGCCTGGTGCTATCCTGCCAGCCAAGGACCAGGGTGCCCAGCTTGGGGTGGTGGTGAGTGGGGCAGGTGCTGAGGGGCTGCCCCTGCACGTGGCTCTCCACCCACCTGAGCCCTGCCGCCGGGGCCGCCACCGGGTCCCACTGGCCTCTGGCACTGCCTGGCTAGGGCTTCCCCCTGCTCCCACCCCGCCCTCCGCCCTCCCATCTAGCCCTGCCCAGGGCCCACCAGCCACGGAGGCCAGCGAGGGTGGTAAACAATGGGAGGCAGGGGGTATTGGGGGCAGTGGGGTTGTGAAGGGCAAGTTTGAGCGGGCAGAGGCAGAGGCCAGAGAGGAGGAGGAAGAGGAAGAGGAGGAAGAGATGGTCCCGGCCCCTCAGCGGGTCACCGACCTAGAGCTGGGCATGTACGCTCTGCTGGGCATCTTCTGCCTGGCCATCCTCATCTTCCTGGTCAACGGTGTGGTCTTCGTGCTGCGCTACCAGCGCAAGGAGCCTCCCGACGGTGCCACTGACCCTGCCTCCCCCCAGCCCCACAACTGGGTCTGGCTGGGTACAGACCAGGAAGAACTAAGCCGCCAGCTGGATCGGCAGTCCCCAGGCCTGCCCCAGGGGGAGGGGGGCTGCCCCTGTGAGAGTGGGGGAGGAGGGGAGGCCTCGACTGTGGCCCAGGCACCTGGCGGGGGCACCAGTAGCTCCTCAAGCACCCTGGCCCGGAAGGAAGCGGGGGGACGGCGGAAACGTGTCGAGTTTGTGACGTTTGCGCCAGCTCCCCTGGCTGAGCTATCTCAGGAGTCCGTAGGGGCCCCGGCCGTGCAGTCCATCCTGGTGGCAGGTGAGGAGGACATCCGCTGGGTATGTGAGGACATGGGACTGAAGGACCCCGAGGAGCTGCGCAGCTACATGGAGAGGATCCGGGGCAGCTCCTGACCCCTCCCCGGCCTGCCTGGTCCAGCACTGTCAGCCACCAGCCCAGGCAGCCTCCTGCTCCCCCTCTGGTGCTTGCTGATCCAAGTCCCCTGCCTGGTCTCTCAAAAGGACGCCCACTCAGGCCCCCTCTGCCCTGCGCCCTCCCCATGATGGACCATGCTCGTGAGGAAGGGCTTATGCCCCTTATTTATGAGAACCATTTCATCGTAATATTGGGTACAGAATAAACTGAAGGAACCCCCACCTGGGACTGCTGCTGCCTGTGTCCTGGGAGAGAAGCGAGGGGGAGTCGGGGGTGGCGGTGTTCAGCCCCTATCCCTGCTGGGACAGCTTTGGGAGGCCGGGCTCTGAGCTACCCTCTCATAGCGACCAGCAATCCAGATAAACAGGAGGGCTGTGGCGGCCTGAATACTGGCCAGCAGAAAGAAGTAAAGGTCCATCCGGCAATTGTTGATATTCCCTGGGGAAAGGAGGGGTTGGCATTCAGGTCGGGCATGGCTCCCCTGGGACTGGCAGCTGAAACAGTGTGGGCTGTGGGTGGGCAGGCAGCCCTCTCACACCCGGTGGTCCACAGTGTTTCCTGTGGTGTCTGCAATTCCGTGTTGGCTGTTCCTTTAGGGGTTTAAAATACTAATACCACAGAGAAAGGTGACTCCTAGGCCAGAATGACTGACTTCCCAGAAGTGGGAAGGAGCCTTGGAGGTCTGCTAAGTTCACAGATTCCTTTTTGACAGTTACGGAAACTGAGGCCCAAGGCAGGGAGGCCACACTGTGGACAACTGGCCAAGTTTGGGCTAGAACCTGGCTCTCCTGAGTCCAGCCTGTGTTTTACTCTGCCTGGCATCAAAGCACTTGATAGTTGCCACCCAATTTCCAAGCCCCCCACCACCCACGTCCCAATCCCAGGGAGGGCTCCACACTCACCAAAGTCCTTGGGGCAGTACAGCCATCCCCGGGGCAGTGACAGTAGTGCCACGAGGCTGGAGCCCAGTAGTGAGCCCACTCCCGACAGGCAGAAGAAGATGCCCATGATGGCACTCTGCATGGAGCGCGGAGCCTCTGAGTAAGCAAACTCCAGGCCTGCAGAGGGAGGGGGAAAACCCAAGTGGCTGATGGAGGAGCAGAGATGAGGCTCAGGGCCTCCAGCCATACTCACCAAGCCTCCATCCTGGCCTCCCCTGTATGGCTGCCCACCCATGGCTAGGATGACACCTGCGTACCAGTGACCCCTTGCCTCTGCCCTGCTCATCTATCTGTTCCCCTGGCTGGACACCTCCACCTGGATGCCCCTGCATTGTTTTGTCTCCTCCTGGGTCTCCCATTTCAGGGGCAACACCTCCTCTCCCCTACCCTCTCTGCCCACCTTCAACATCCTCATCAAATCCTTTTGATTCAACCTCAGAAATCTCACTGTCTGCCCTCCTCTCTGTTCCCACTGCCCTGGGCCAAAGCACAGTCCTGATCACTTACTGCCCAGCCTCTGCAAGTACCTGTAAACCCCCCTGCCTCCCTTCTTCCTGCTCACACAGCCAGATGGGTCTGTCTAAAAGATCTCTGATGGGATCCTTTCCCTGCCAAAATCCCCCTGGGGTGGAGGGCTGGGGGGCGGTGGCAGCTATTGCCCTCAGGAACGACTTCAACATCCAGGCTTGGCCCTACACCTCCCCAGCCTTGCACACACTCCCCACAAGCCTTAGCTCTTCACTTCCGCCTGTGACATCCTTCCTACCTGCGGAGTTCCACCTTCCCTGCCTACCAGCCTCCTCCCCACCTCGTCCCAGGGGCTTTCCCTACACTGTCAAGTCACTTCTACAGCCCTCCACTGAGTTTACTGTCCGTGTGATGGTCTCCAAAATTCTGAGCAAGTCCCACTAAAGCCCAGCCCTGGGCCTGTGGCTGAGTAGCTTCTGCTACTTGGCTGAGTGAAGAGCCCACCTGCACTCCACAGCTCTGGCTCGCAGTCCGGCGGGGGCGACAAACATACTGCACTATTACAACACAGTGACCCGTGTGCTGTGATAGATATGAATAAAAGGAGCTAGAAGGACTCCCTGTGACCAGGGGGCTTGGAGAGGGCTTTATGAAGGAGCTGGCATTTAGGCTCAGCAGTGAAGGGGAAATACTTTGTTTATTTTAAGTAAAGTAAGTTTACTTTGAATCCGAGGCATTGGGAACAGCAACGCACAGACATGGGGAATGAGGCACACGGTGCCAGGGACTATGTGGGAGGTTGCCAAGGAGCGTCTTAATCCTTCCAAATCTCCAGTGCCTATCACAGTGCCTGGCACAAACCGGGAGCTAGTAAGTATCCACTGGGTGAATGCAGCCGCACTCAGAAAACCTGGCCTTCCTCTACTCCTGCAAACTCCAGAAGCTGTGCGCATGAGACTTTTTGACTTGGGAGGCAGCTTCAGGCAGAGCCCATCACTGGTGCAAGAACAGGGGAGGGGTCCGGGGTACCTGGGATACTGGCAAAAATCTCACTGATCCCGATGAGCAGGTACTGAGGGATCTGCCACCAGATGGACAGTGGTGCCGCGTAGTACACATCCTTCCCAATCTGCTGGGACACTGTCTGGTTGCGATGGATGTACTGTAGACGCTCCATCTCCAGGCCTCCTGGTGGGGGAAAGAGGTGCACTATAAATAGCCAGGCCCCGGGTCCACAGCTTAGCCCACAGCAAAGCTTGGCACGTGGTGGGTATTCCCTAGGCCACTGATGACTGACTGAACAGCAGGAAAGGAGAACCATGGCCTGGGGGCAGGGTGGAGGCAAACGCCTTGATTTTTGCCTCGGCTGCTAGGAAGCTCAGAATGAGGCTTTGGCACTCAAGAATAGGAACAACTGGTATTAATTGAGAGCCTGTTATGTGCTGGGCATTTAATATGCATTCTTGCAAATGAAGAAAGAAATTTAGAGTAAGTAATCAGCCCAGAGTCACACAAGCTGATGAGTATTTGGGGCTGGATTTCCACCTCTTTGTGCCCCATTTCCTTCATATCCCGTGACTTCTCTCCTGCAGCATCAAGGAGGATTTCTAACCTGACCTCCAAGTTTTAGGAGGTCATTGTTAGAAGACAGCTGTGCCGTAGTGGCATGAACACTGCATGTGGTGCAAGGTCACTTAGGTTCCAATCCTGGCCCTGCCACTGGTTAGTGGTGACCTTGGGCCAATCACTTAACCTCTCTAAGAACCAGTGCTCTTATGCAAGAAGCGAGAATAACAATCCCAGAGTTGTTGTGAGGATGAAATAGGACAACGTACATTAAAGCCCGGAGCTGAAAAAGAACCTGGGTTGGTTTTCGTTCCTTGCAACACAATACTGGGTTTTGAGCTTTGATTTCCCTGCCTCCTCCTTGTGATCCAGGCACAGTGCTGGATGTCTCACAGCTCTGCCTTTTTTTGAATCCTCACAACACTCCTGCTAGACCACATTCCACGAGGGCAGAACCCAGGTCCTGCACTGGGGCTGCATGAATGACTATGGCCATTGTAAAGACAGAGCACAAAGATGCTAAGTAACTTCAGGAGTGAAAGGGACAGAGGTTTGTGTAGTGGCATGAAAGGCTTCTTTACCAGAGCCTCTTTGTAATAAATGGCTTCAAATCCTTTTGAACGAGAAGGAAGAGAGTAAAACGATAAATTCTTTTTCTTTAAGTGGCTGAGTGTCTGAAAAATTCATTTAACCCATTTACTGGGTGTCCATGAATAGTTTCATAGCAGTGAATGAAAAAGAAAAAAAAAAAAAAAAACAGTCTTCAGGGAGCTTATATCCCACTGGGGGAAATCTTTCTCCCTCTCTTGTCCTGAGCTCCCTCATCTGTCAAGATGAGGAGAGGCCGGGGACCAGAGGAGGAAGATCCCCTTCAGCTCACACCCTCTGGGAAGCCAAGACTGGCACCCACGGCAGGAGGGTGGATGTGGCCCAGACCCACGGCTCCAACACCTGCCAAAGTGGAGCCAACCTCCCCCAACTGCAGACAAAGGCCAGCCTCCCTCCCTGCGTCCCTCCACTTGGGCCCACACACCTGCCACAAGGACAGAGGCAAAACCAAAGAACATGCCCAGTGCCATCTTCTGCAGGGCTGAGGGAAGCAGCTTGTGCCGCAGCAGTAATGGGTCGAGCAAGTGGTCCTTCATGGGCACCAGGATCAGCACCACCACGACATTGGCCAGGAGGAGCCAGGCTTCCGGGATCTGAACAAGAGGGGTCCAAGCAAGACAGGCTAGCAGAGCAGAAGGAGCTATGGGCTGGAGTTGGGAGCGCTGGCCTCCAGACCGTCCTTGGGTGACCCAGGGTCAGCCCTCTCCCCTCTCTGGAATGCACACTCCTCAGCTGGGTTAAATTGGGGATGGGATTAAATCAGAGGTGGCAAATAGTTTCCTCTGGCTTCTATCAGTTGGTAATGGCTGCTGCAAACATTCTCAGGCTCAGCATGAAAACATGGTCAGGATTGATTAGTGATGTCTGCCCCAGGCAAGGAATGAAGGTATAGTGGCAAATGTAATTTCTCTGCCAGCTCTGAGGATCTTTGATGTTAGGAGTCTTTGAAACACCATGGAACTGGTTTGGAAAGTCCTGGTGAAAGGCAGACATCTGGGGATCCAGGGGCCCCGGAGAGTGTGGGAACTCAAGGTAGAACTGGGATGTGGGTGCACCTCTCTGAGAGTCAGTGGGATGAAGACAGGGTAGTGAGACCTGCCTCAGAGCAGCAGTGGGTGGGAGCAAAGCTGCCCCATCTTAGCAGGATGCCTGGGCTGGGGCACAAGTTTCCCCATCCTCCAGGTGCTTTTCCTGTTTCCTGATGATCCCCTGCTCCTGGGTATGAAAACAGCTTAATTTCTTTCTGTTTTGAGAGGACACACCCAGCAAGGCCCATCATGGGGGCTGAATGCATACCCGGTCTCACCTTGTAGCCGCTACCCTGGGCTCCCAGAGCCATGGAGCTATTGGCAGGAACGTCTGGGAAAATGTTTGGGATGCGGAGATGAAGACCTTGCAGGACATACGTAGACTGCATCTGCCAAGAGAGATGGAGCCATGGCTGGAACAGAGCTGGCCACCTCACCTGCAAGGAGAGGTGAGACCGCAAGCTCCGAGACGGGCGTTCTTCAGAAGGAGCACAGGGCAGCTGGGCAGCTGTCCCCTCTCCCAGCCTCGGGGAGATGTGACCTGCCTACCCTGCTTCCGCCTCAGGAGCCAGGCTCAGTCAGGGAGCTTCCTTCGCTCTGTTCCCAGGCCCGTGAGCTGTGTGTGCAGCCTTATCCCAGAGCCTAGGCACAGCTGTTATGACTCACATTTGGTGTCTCCAAGGCCTGACACAGAGGAAGTGTGGATAAACGTTTGTTGACATGGGGAAGATAATGACATGGCTGTCCCCATGGGGAGCTCTCATTTGACACTGAGGCCAAGCTTCATCCCACAGGCGGACGTGGCACAGACACTGGGTAGACATCAACCCACCAGCATGGCTCTGGGCTCAGCTGCAGGGGCAAGCTCCAAGGGGCCCAGTTTCACATCACATATCACCCCTGTAGTATTCTAAAATGCAGGGGATCCAGAACAATCCCACACGAGGGTCTGGGGCAAGGGAGGGCACTCGGGCTGCTCAGGACAACAGCTATTGACCAACTGGTACATAAGTACATCAGTATTCTGACAACCAGTATGACTGAGAATCAGCCATGGACACAGACAGACCCCCTCCCCATGTCTCTGTCCTGTCTCCTCTATGCCACCCCCAAGAAGCAGGCTGGCCTTGCATAACCCCCATCTTGTGTAACTCAAAACAAGCTTCCTCTTGAAGGGGTATGGAAGGCAAAGACTTTGTCATGTGGGGGTTAGAAGTTGGAGTCAGGTCACAGCCACCCTACACACACACACATCGCACTAACCTTCCCCGTAAGAAATGGTGGGAAACAGTGGCTCTCAGACCTGGCTGAGTACCAGTATCCCCTGAGAAGTTTATTTTCCTAGAGACTTCCCCCAACAATTCTTTTTTCAGTACTCTGGGGTGGGACACAGAATCTGCTTTAAAAGCTTGCAGGTGGTTCTGAGACACAGACCCAGGGGGGAATCACTGCTACAAAGAATTCAATGCCCTGAGGTGGCCCCTAGCTGGCTGTGGGGCACGGGGTAACTCTGGGCCTCAGTTGCCACATCAGAGGATCTGAATGCTCTAGAGCTATTAGAACCCCTAAGCTCCCTGTTTTATACATGAGGCCCAGACAGATGGGATCACATTGGAGTCCCTGGGCCTCAAATTTGTCTCCAGAGTTCCTCATGCTATTAATTACTGGGATGGCTTTGTGTCAGGCCCCAGGTAGCACCAGGTCACTCTGTGAACCCCTGCTCCCATTTCCACGTGCTTTGGGCTTCTATGGTGAGAGCTTAGCCCCATCCGGGGACTGGGGAGCCACTGTCCTCAGAGCAAAAGGGCAGGGTGCTCACCTGGAAGTACACCATCCAGTAAGGCACCAGGGTCACCATGACGGGCAAGATCTTCACCAGCACCTGGAAGTTGGCAATGTCCTCTTGGGGGGAAGGGCCAGGCTGGGGAGACCTCTGGTCAGGCAGCAGTTGGGCGCCTTGAGGGTCTCTGTGGGGCCATGGGGCAGCAGATAAAACAGCAGCCATCGCCACCACCATGACCACCATTATCCCCTATTTAGTCTTGCTCCTCTATCACCAGTGACCACAGCCATCATCTCTGAAATGACCCATCTCCTCCCTCCACCAGAAGCTTCACCTTCTCCATCATCACCATCGTCACCTCAGCCAGCATCCTCGCCATCCTTGTCGTTAGTGAAGCGACTGTCCCCAAAGCCAGCCTCCCAGTGACTGTCCATTACACTCCCTCACTATCTTCTCCTTTCTTTTACAGGTGGCTGATCAAAACCCTTCCCAGCCAAGAGCCGTGTGCTGTGGTCCCCGGGAAAAGTAGACCAGAGACTGTGGTGAGCGGAGTCTTCGGGAATTTTTGGCTTCACAGCATCAGTATGCTGCGGGAAGCAGGGAAGTCCCAGTCTAAGCCTGACTCAGAGAGAGACAGGGATAGAGAGAGAGAAAGAGAGAGGCCAGCCCAGATCTGGTATACCCCAATGCACCCTCACTCCCTGTGTCCAAGTCCATCTTCCTGAACAGGCATTATTACAGCCCTCTCCCTACCTGACGAGGATGGAGGCAGTGGAGAGGTAGGGGTGCAGGGGAAATGTTAAGGAAACAGGATAGATCAACCACTGCTATGACCTCCCCCTGCCTTTGCCCTTTGTCTTGACATATTTCTAATTTCTAATCCATTCTTGCTCAAGAGTCTTGCCTCATCCTTTGAGATGCCGAAGGGGATAACACCAGTGAGGTCATATCCAAAGATGGCCACTATCAGCGTCTCCCCTCCTAGGGTGGGATGCCACTCCTCCACTAACAGGCCATCTGTTCCCCTGCCTTGGAATCTGGGCTGGCCTTGTGGCTGTGCTGACCAATGGAACAAGCAGAAGTGATGGCTCGGTCTTGCAACCCAGACACCTTACTGTGAGGAGCTCCAGCTACAGGCGTGTGGCCACATGAAGGGGGACCCCAGGTGCCTTTGTTGGACTTCCAGCCACATAAGTGAGCTGTCTTGGCTGCTCTAATCCCTTCAGGCCCCCAGATGACTGTAGCCCCCCACCCCCATGACATCACAAGAAGTGGAACAACTACCTGGCTGAGCCCAGTCACCCACAGCATCATGAGAGGTAATAAAATGTGATTGCTTAGGTAACTGAGTTCCAGGATGGTTTGTTGGGCTGAGCTGGATCATTAAAACAAAACCCCACCACAATGCACCAGCTTAGACAAACATGTCCTGTCCTTTTTCCATCTAGATCCTACTGATAGGATCTGTAACAGGCTCCAAGGTCTGGAGACATGTTTGCTTAGCAGAGTGGTCAATTAACTTTAGGAAGGACAGGGGCAAAAGGAAGCTGGTGTGTGTGTGAAGGACTGTTCTGAACCTTCCTCCCTGGGATGCTAGCTAATGGAGGAGGAGCAAGTTTGGCTGATTTCTTAGACATTCTTTTTTTTTTTTTTTTTTTTTAAGATTTTATTTATTTATTTACTTGCGAGAGTGCCTGAGAGAGAGAGGGCACGCACGCACAAGCAGGGGGAGGGGCAAAGGGAGAGGGAGAAGCAGGCTTCCTGTTGAGCAGGGATCCCAATGTGGGGCTCCATTCCAGGACCCGGAGATCATGACCTGAGCCGCAGGCAGACACTTAACCGACTGAGCCACCCAGGTGCCCTCTTAGATTTTCTTACACTTGCTATCCTTGTGGTGTTGAATTATTTACATTATATCCCAACAGCCTTCACTGGTACCATCGTCTCCATCATCAGCCAGTCCTACTGCCTTTGTCAATCACTGCTGAATTATCTTCACCGTGGCTGCTGATGAACACCTCCCCTCTACCTCGATCATCACTGTCAAGACCATGCACAACCAGCCTTATACTCTCTTGAGTTAGTCCGTGGGCAGGACCACCACCACCACCTTGAGCTCCATCACCAGCCAAGGTCACAGCAGGGCAGCTCTGGCCCTTGCACAGCAGGTTGTCATAAAGGGCTACCATGGGAGCTGACCCAGAACATTCTTCCAAGCGGACTGCGCCTCCCCGGGAGAAGCACAGCACGTCTCCATGGCCCCCGTAACCAAGAGCGCCCTTCTTACCTGACAGAGTGTCGGTGCTGCAGGTGGGGACAGCAGTTTTGGAAAGCGAGTTTCAGCATAGAGGACACTTGGCTGCCTGTGGGGGGCTTGGTGATGAAGATGGGGGTGGCGAAGAGGAAGATGAAGAAGGCCAGGCCCACGCAGCCCACGGTGATACTGTAGCCCAGCAGGAAGTCAATGTTCTGTTGGATAAAGGCCACTACCAGTAGCGACAGCACGGCACCCACGTTGATGCTCCAGTAAAGCCAGTTGAAGAAGCGGCGGCTGGCGTGGCGACCAAGATCCATCACCTGCTGGGCAGGGGTGAGAGTAAGGGAGGCCCAGGGGCACCCTGCCATGATGTACCTGCCCTCCTTTTCCCACAGAGATACTTCCTGAGTCAGTGGGTGGACATTCCAGCATTCTCCTGGTCCCTGATCACTAAATAGACACTCAGTAAATAAATACTGGTTGATTGAATAAAGAAACCTTTCCCTTGGGAGTTCATGATCAGGAAAGTTTGGCACAGCTATTTTTGTATGCCCATGGTACACATTTTCTCATTTTCACCAAGTGGTGCACACAACAGATGTCTCTCATGCCACTTTGTTCACTTCTATTTGATTTATTCCTTTGTCTTTGAACAACCTACAGTACATACCACCTCTATCATCAGAAGAAAGCCAGTAATGATCAGGTCTGTTTCACGTTATTAGGTAGGACATATGTGTATTGCTGAAAGAACAGTTAAAACTCTAATGGAGAATTTCCTCTGCAATTTGGAGATGCAGAGTTCTCTAGTGTGGCCCAAGCCTTCTCTTCCACTTGCTTCCTCTAATATATGCCCAGTCAAACAAGGTTGGCATATCAGGGAAAACAGAGGTGGCCTCGCACACAGCCCCCTGAGTGGGTTCTGGCCTGGTTGGGGAAAAAAAAATCAGGCCTCCAGCAAGGACAGAAAGACTCAAAATCTTTACCCAGGATTTGGATCAATCTGCAGCAGTCAGGCCCCAGGCGCCCTGCTGGCTCGGATCAGCTGCACTGGCTGATCCCACCTCTCTCTCCCAGACCCTCGTCCCAGATTCTGACCCAGCAGGTCTGGGACAGGGATAGCCCAGGAGTCTGCATTTCTAAAAAGCAGTGAAGACTAGAGGTCAGCTTTCAAGGTGATTCTGTGCCCTGTTATGCCCATCACCCTTTCAACAAAGCACCGCATCTCAAAATCCACTGTTCTCCTTTGTCAAGCTTTACTTTCTATAAGTGCATTGGGGATAAGGTAAGTATTTCTTTTTCCTTTTCCAAAGGTAAAATTATAGTCCATACAGATGCATGCCCTTAGAGATTTTGAGGGGTCCTCCAGGCATTAGAGGGTGAGGACCATGTCCATGCATTGGGAATTTTTGCTGTAGACTTTCAAGCAGAAAATGGAGTAAGTCCCATTATGTGCAGGCACTTCCATTTATTAACTGGATGCAAATGTATATGACAATTGCAACTCTGAGGGGAAGACCAGGCAGCCCATTCAGGATATAAATGAGCTCTCCCAAAACAAGCACTTTGTCAAGAATGATGGACGGCCCTTTCTGAAATCAGCAAGTGTGTTAAAAATACAGCTCGTGGGTATGGCTGTCTGCCAGATGATGACAACCCTTCCCGCCCAGATACCTTCCATCTGACTGCCCCCCTGAATTCTGCAGCAGCCCCTCAGTGGGTACTTTGGTGTACCCACTCCTGTTACCCCCACCCACTCCCCACTGTAGCCAGAGACATTTTTAAAGAACTCAAATCCGCCCCTGTCTGTTTCAGTGTTTCCAACCTGTCTTGTGGGTCAGGTTCAGACCCCTAGGGCAGCCCAGGGCACCTGGGGTACAGTGGATATCAATGAAAAAGTGGAATGAAGGGAGAAGAGAGATTCCAGGGCACCTGGGTGGCTCAGTGGTTGAGCATCTCTTTGGCTCAGGTCGTGATCCCATGGTCCTGAGACTGAGTTCCGCACTGAGTCCCACATCGGGTTTCCCTGCAAGGAGCCTGCTTCTCCCTCTGCCTGTGTCTCTGCCCCTCTCTCTGTGTCTGTCATGAATAAATAAATAAAATCTTGAAAGAAGCAGCAGAAATAGTAGTAGAAGGGAGAGTCCTAGTAGCAGATGTTGGGGGTCTCCTAGTCTAAAGGAAGGTCAACAGTAGCCTAGGAATGGACAGGCAGCCCTGGGGGAACTGAGTCCCCCATCACCAAAGGAATCCAAATAGGCTAGAAGAGTAGATCCTTGGTAAGGACACTGGAAACTGTGTAGGATGCCGAACAGTGGGCATCAGCAGGATGCAATGATTCTTTTTAAAATGTCCCCTTTACGAGGAGAACCCTCTTGCACTGTTGGTGGGAATGTGACCTGGTGCAGCCACTCTGGAAAACTGTGTGGAGGTTCCTCAAAGAGTTAAAAATAGACCTGCCCTACGACCCAGCAATTGCCCTGCTGGGGATTTACCCCAAAGATACAGATGCAATGAAATGCCGGGACACCTGCACCCCAATGTTTATAGCAGCAATGTCCACAATAGCCAAACTGTGGAAGGAGCCTCGGTGTCCACCGAAAGATGAATGGATCAAGAAGATGTGGTCTATGTATACAATGGGATAATATTCCTCAGCCATTAGAAATGACAAATACCCACCATTTGCCTCGACGTGGATGGAACTGGAGGGTATTCTGCTGAGTGAAATCAGCCAATCGGAGGAGGACAAGCATTATATGGTCTCATTCATTTGGGGAATATAAAAAATAGTGAAATAGAATAAAGAGGAAAGGAGAGAAAATGAGTGAAAATACCAGTGAGGGTGACAGAACATGAGAGACTCCTAACTCTGGGAAATGAACTAGGGGTAGTGGAAGGGGAGGTGGGTGGGGGGTGGGGGTGACTGGGTGACGGGCACTGAGGGGGGCACTTGGTGGGATGAGCACTGGGTGTTATGCTATGTGTTGGCAAATAAACTGTCCCCTCTATGATGGTGAATACGTACAATTAAAGAACCTTTTAAAAACAGAGGCGGTAAGGGAGAAGTACAATGAGTCCAGGGCCTGATCACACTATTGTTACAATTTTTTCCGGTTTCCCCTTTTAGCTGACTCCTAGTCTTTTCACATGACTTTAATCATACTCTGCAGTTCTGCCTCGCTTTTGCTCACCAACACCATATGTGGTTGTTTTCATCATATTACTTATTACTTAAAGTCATGGTCTAATATCCCATTGAGTACAGCTATCAAAATATGGCCTTGTTGTTAGGCACTCACTCATTCATTTGGTAAATATTCACTGAATCCGTCCTATGTGCCCCGTGCTGTCCAAAGGCATACAGAGAAAGGTTCAGAAGTTCAGATATTTGCCCAAGTGTTCCTGGCTAGTGAGTGGCAGAGCTGGGATCTGAGAAAGTCTGTGGGACCCCACGTCTCACACTGCTGGTTGGAGGAGGCTTGCTCCTTCCCTAGCCCCCAGATCCCCACAACACTAGGTAGGGCTTGCTGTGGCGAGGCCTGAAGTCTCGTTGCCCTTCCTCTCCTTGACCTGCTCTCTACATGACCTCGGACGGGTCGATTAATACCCTGAAACCTTAGCGCTCTCATCCGTAAAGTGGACATGCTCATGCCACCCACCTCCTGCGCGGTTAAGAGGATGAAAGGAGGCACCTCACGGAAAGCAGCGCACAGGCCGAGAAACAAACGGGCGGCAGTCATCACCCTGCAGCCATCGATGGCTGCTGCAGTCAGGGCCCCCTCTTCCCTCCATAAGGGGACCGAGCGCAGACAGGGGAAGGGGCTCGTCTGAGGTCGCGCCTGGCTCTGGTCCCGAGATCCCCGCTGGCCCCGCGCGCTCCCGGGGCCTCGCGCGCCGCGGGGCGCGCCCCTCACCTGGTCAGCCCCGAAGGCGGTGAGGTTGCTCCGGACGGAGCTGGCGGCCAGGGCGAGCAGCAGCAGCCCGCAGTAGACGGCGGGCGCGCAGGCCGGGGCGGGCGCGGCGGGCGCGCAGGCGGGCTCCCGGCAGGCGGGCCCCAGCGGCGCCGCGGGCACCTGCCCGCAGAGGGCGCGGCGGCCGTCGCGGAAGGCGGTGGCGGGCAGCAGGCTGGAGGCCGCCAGGTAGAGCAGCAGGCTGAGCGCGACGGCGCGGGCGCGGCCCAGGTACGCGTCGGCCAGCCAGCCCCCCGCCGGCGCCAGCAGGTAGGACGCGCCCAGGAAGACGAGCGCGGCGCGGGACGCCTGCGGGCCGTCCCAGTGGAGGCTGGCGCTGTTGAGGTAGAGCACCAGGTTGGCCGAGACGCCGAAGAAGGCGGCGCGCTCCAGCGCCGCCACCAGCAGCACCGCGGCCGCCGCGGCCGCCGCCCGCCGCCACTGGCCGGGCGCCCGCGGCCTCCGCGCCAGCAGCGGCCTCCGCTCCCCCCCGGCGCCGGCCGCGGGCATCCTCGGCCCGCGGCCCTGCCTGCGCCCCGCTCCCCCGCGCGCAGGCGGGCGCCCTTCGCCGTGCCCCACCTCCCCCTCGGCGTCCCCCGCCCACCTCAGTGGCTGCCCAGCCTCTCCCTCCGCATCCCCGTCCCGAACACTCAGCTCTGCCCGCCCCCACGCCTGACTCTTCCGTCCTCCGCCCTTCCTCCCCCTCCTCGCGACCTCACTGCCCGCCCTCCTTCTCCCTCTTCTCTGCCCCTTCCCCTCCTTTCCTGTTGCTCTCCCCGGTTAGTTGCCCTGACACCCGGCCTGCACTCTGGGGAGGAGCACCTCCCGCGGGGCTCGCTCTGTGCCCACGGGCCTGGCTGGCTACCTCCTCTGCTGTGCCACCCCCCCCCCCACCTCTGCCTCCTCTGCTCCCTGGGCCCCTCTGCCTCTCCCTCTGGCTCAGCCTCCGTCCAGCTTTCCGCTTCTTGAGAAATTCTGGGCTCTCCTCGCTTCCCCTTTCTGTGGCCACTCTGGGTCACATGGTGCTGTGGGGTGCTTAGGAGAAATGAAAGCGCGGGTCACAGGGTCTCCGCCTGCCCAGCTTTCTGAAAACCTCCCTCTTTCCCCAGCCTATTCCTCCTGCCCCCACCTCTGGAGCCTGGAGGAACAGTTTCCATCTTTCACTTTCATCCCACTTTGGCTGCATCCTCTTCCAATCACAATCCAAAGCTACTGTGACACAACTGGAAACACCATTTGTATTTTTTGGTTTCCCCCTCTTCCCCATCCTCGCCCACCTGACTGATGCAGAGACTGAGGCCCGGAGGACCTGTAGGAGGGGAGGGCAGGATGGCTGTTCCAGATCACTGAACTGGGGTTGAACCACCGCTGGGGCTCCTGGGTGACAGGGGAAGCTCTCCAAATGCAATTCAGATTGTGTAACTGCTATTGGGGGGAAGGAAGCAGGGACACCTTCAGGAAGCATGCGGTACCATAGAAGGCCCACAAGTGAGTTGAGATTTGGACAGCCTGGATCTCAGACTAACCCAAACCAGGCCTCAACACTCCCTCCTCCAAGCCCTGCGGTGCACTTGGATGAAGAGCTGGCCCTCACTCAACCTAAAAGCCCACTGAGTTCTGACCCCTGCCTTCTTCCAACCTCATGACGGTCCCCAGCCACTCAAGTCCAGCCCCGGGGACATTCTTTCTGCTCCCCTGACTGCTGAGTTCTGACCTCTGCCGGAACTGCTCTTCTTCCGGAACCCTGCATGGCTGGTTTCTTCTCTTTATTCAGATTTCAGCTGAAATGTGCCCTCTTCATAGAGACCTTCCTGGTGGTCCTAGGTAGCTGCCTGCTGGATTCCCAGCCCCCATCCTCGGTCACACTGTCTTGTGTTCATATCTTCAGAGCACATACTATTTGTCTAATTGCTGGTTCATTGTTTTCCCCAATAGAAGTTCCACTGGGCCAAGAACTTTGTCCTTTTTTTTTTTTTTTAAGAATTGATTTTTTTTAAAGAGCAATTTTAGGTTTACAACCAAATTGAGAGGGAGGTACAGAGATTCTCATATGCCCCCTGCCCTTAATGTGCACAGCCTTCCCCTTTATTAACATCACCCACCAGAATGGTACATTTTTAAACAGGAATGAACTGATACTGACCCATGATAATCACCCAAAGTCTATAGTTTACCTTAGGGCTCACTCTTGGTGTACATTCTATGGACAAATGTATGATGACATGTGCCCATCATTGTAATATCACATAGAGTATTGTCACTGCCTTAAACATCCTCTGTGCTGCATTTATTTATGTGCCCACTCCCTACCCCCACCACTCCCACCCCCCACTCTCCAGCAACTACTGAATTTGCTATCTCCATCTTTGCCTTTTCCAGAATGTCATAGAGCTGGGATCATGCACTGGGTAGCCTTTTCAGATTGACTTCTTCTTAAATACACATTTAAGATTCCTCCATGGCTTTTCATGGCCCCATACCTCATTTCTTTTGAATAACTGTCTTAACGGATGGACCACAATGTATCCATTCATTCACCTACTGAAGAACTGTAGATGTCCCTCAAAATTAGGTTCTTAAATTTAATATCAGGTGAGAAACACAAGCTGTGATGGATGAGGCAAGCCCATGTAGGGTAAAGTATAATATGAGGTGGTGAAGAGAAAGCAGAGCTCCCCACCCTGGATTCTGTGCCAGCCACTTCAGTCAAGAACAGATGCTTTGGATGACGTGGGCAGAGACTGGGGTCTCCTAGCCTCTCCCTCATGCTAAGATTAAGCTGCCTTTGCCTCTTCTTGGAGGAAGCTCAGGATCATCAGGGCATGATGATGAAGTGCATGTCACATCAGACTCAGCTCTGTTCTCTCTTGGCAAGATCACCAGTGTGGTGGATGTGATGAACGCCATCCCAGAGGGCTGAGTTTTGCAGATGAGAGTACTGGTCTAAAAAAAAAAAAAAAGAGAGAGAGTACTGGTCTGCTGCCAGTGACCTTCAGGGGCCGGAGGACAAAGGGAAAGTGACTTCATTGAAACAATGTAGTCAACAGAAGAAAAACAGAGAGAAAGGCATCAAAGAAGAGACAAATTAAGTTGCTTCCTTTCTGTCTAGTCCCCATTCCTGAGGTGCTTGGGGGCCAGGAACTTGGGTGGGGTGCTAGGGAAGGTCCTGGGATCTGCTTACCGAGGGAGACCACTGGGGAAAACTGCCTTTTACAGATAGCGGGAGTGGCATTCTGAACATAGACGTGACTGTCACCCAAACACGAGTTAAACATTGATTACCCACATTTAAGGGAGCTGGAGAGCAGTTTCAGTACTGAGGAGACCCAGAGCAGATGGCCTGTGACCATGACCCATAAACAGAAGCAGTTTGATCCAGACAGAATTTGGCCACCTGATGTGAAGTTTTTGTTCTTGCTTTCATTATTGTTTTTTAACTTAAAACATTTTTAGGGCGCCTGGGTGCCAGGACTGAGTCCCACATCGGGCTCAGCGGGGAGCCTGCCTCTCCCTTTCCCTCTGTCCCTGACCCCACCCTGCCGCTTGTGTGCTCTTGTTCCCTGTCTCTCTCTCTCTCTTAAATAAATAAAATCTTTTAAAAAATTACTTAGCTTATGGGGCATCTGGGTGGCTCAGTCTGTTAAGTGTCTGACTCTTGATTTTGGCTCAGATCATGACCTCAGAGGCGTGGGATCGAGTCCCATGTGAGGCTCTGTGCTCAGCAGGGAATCTGCTTTAGATTCTCTCTCCCTTTCTCTCTACCCCTCTCCACTGCTCGCTCGCTCGCTCTAAATAAATAAATATTTTTAAAAAATTACTTACCTCCTTGAACATTCAGAAAGATGAAAATCTAGATTTCTTGCTACTCTTGAAGTTGGGGAAGGGGTGTGGCAGGGGGTCTGTGAAATCTGGGCCAGCATGCTGACATGGAGCTGCCTCTTGAGCCTCACCCCCAGCAGCTCCCTCTCCATGCCCCCTGCCTCTATGCCGCCCCTCAGCCACTGTCAGCTTCCAGTCCTATCTCTGGAAGTTGGCATGTGCTGCTCCCCGCTAGAGCCTAGAACCTCCCATCACTAACGAATCCTGTTCCCTCAGGACTTGACCGAGATGTCGCCTCTTCCAAGAAGTCTCCTCTAGTTTCCCAAGTTCAGGTTAGCCCTTAGAGGCACCTGCAGGGACTCATGTCATAAATGCCTGCTTTACTTGCCTATTTATCCCATTAGACTAGAGACTTTCTGAGGACGGGGTTGTGTCTTCATCTCTGTTCCAGGCACATAGGAGGATGAACTCCAGGGCTGGACAACTGAGCAAAGGCCTTGTCTTGACTTCTCAAGAGCTCTGTGATCTTCATTAAGTTACTTAACCTCATTGGTACTTTATCTGAATAGTAGAGAATGAAAAATACTTACCCTGTATGCTTTTTTTGTATCAAAACAAGATAACCCAGCCTGGTGGTTGGCATATGTAAGAGCTCAGGAAACGTCTGCACCTTAAGTAAGTAACAAATAAATAAAACAAATGTTGATATTGCTTACTGTGCGTTGGAGGCTGTGCAAGTGGCTGAGGATACAGCAATAAGCAAAATGGACACAAATCTGGGCCCTCGTGGAGGTGACGTTCCAGGACTTGGGCAACAGTTGAGCAAAAGAAGAGAAGGGAATAAAACAGAACAGACGAGAACACGGCACATTTATTGTCACATATGATAAAGGCTAAAATGAAAAACCAAGTTGAAATGAGATATGGAGATGACAGTGAAGGCTTTTTAGATAGAGTATGATATAATCATAATTTACTATAAATCAGAGTTTCTCAACCTTGGCACTATTGACGCTTCAGACCAGATGCTTCTTTGTTGCGAGGGCTGTCCTGTGCATCATAGGGTAGCTAGCAGCATCCCTGGCCTCTGTTCACAAGATACTAGCTGTACTCCTTCCCCTATGTTGTAACAATCAAAATGTCATCAGACATTACCAAATATCCCCTGCAGGCAGAAAACCACTGTTAGACAAATGTTTGCTGGGGAAGGGTATAGTGGGCTGCATAGTAACCCCCAAAAAGATACATCCATATCCTAATCCCTGGAACCTATGATTGTTACCTGATATGATAAGAGATGCCATTAAATTAAGGGTCATGAGAGGAGGTGCTTATCCTGGATTATCCTGGTGGGCCCTTAATGCCATAGACAAGTGTTCTCATAAGAGCAAGGCAGAGGGCAAGGACACAGAGCCACATAGAAGGGAAGACAGAAGTGGAGAGCAGATGATGTGGCTGCAAATGAAGGAGTGCCAAGGAACTGGGGTCTCCATGAGACATGAGGGTAGGGGTAAAGGACAGGCTTTGTGAGGGCCTCTGCAGGAAGTGTGTCCCTCCTCACATCTTGATGTCAGACTTCTGGCCTTGTGAATTGTGGGAGAATACATTTCTGTCATCTGTCACCAGATTTGTTAACAGCAGCCACAGGAAACTAATCGGGAAGATCTTACCTCATCAGTGAGCGTGTTTCAACATCAAA